AGATTCGTTCTGATACATGTATATTAAAGCTGTCACGCAATCATGCGTAGGTATGTAACGCAAGCTGTGAGATCCAAAGTGGCTTTCCTTTCTTGCGTTTCGTTGTACATAAGTCACTTGCCCATATTAGCAAATCCTTAGTGTTATCTTTCGTTACTCAATTTGATGTACATAAATATCACGCTATCTTAGCACCCAAATAGACTTTGGGTTGATCTAGTTAAGCTCTAATATAAATGCCCAAATTGGGTTTAGAAGTAGTAATGTCTATAAAATACCAGAGATTCTGTTGGAGCTTTGATACCTTCAATAGAAGTAGTTTGCTAAAAATTACAATAAATTTAACAGATTCTAATCATAACCAATATTTAAAATGAATAAAAGATTCATGCAACTTGATTCAAGTGAGCTTTGTATCGTCTCTCGCTGTGCATCAAGGGAAGAAAGAAACGCGCGCAATGCATGAGGGTTAGGAGTAAAGGATTGCAGAGAGACGAGTCGGTATCTGAGCTGATATAACTGGTTTACATGTAGCTGCCTTAACGGTGGTAACCCTAGTTCCAGAGCTTAGATATTTTCTCTCTTCCCTACTATTTTTGTTTGCGCGAGAGAAAATATTCTCGGTTTGCACATGACGTCATCAGTCGAAAAAAATTCTAAAATCACAGACACACAACATTACAGTACTGAAATACCTTGAAGAGCATGATAGAAGTTCTCTCTGAAAGTTTCAACGTTTTTTGCTGTTTATTCGTTGAGTTATTCACGTTCAAAAATATGTCACGCAATACTGTCACGCGACTTGAAACACGCTAAATTAACCTCGGAAAGCCTATTAATCTTAAAACAAGTATAGCCTCAGCATTAAATTTAATTTTTAGAATGATATTGTTTGAAAACTGAAGCAAAATCATAAGTTTTGAGCTCATTTCGACACTCGGAGTTACTGTCCGCCTGGTTGGTGTACTGGACTTATACACCATTAGGGCTTTCCCATATATTACCTTGTAAAGTAAGACCGCATTCAAACGCTTATATTTTTGCTACAAAATGGCAGTTTGACTTCAAATTTTGCATAACTGTTGGGAATTATATGTTGTTTTTGGCCTTGAACATAAAAAATTCATTTCGATCTTAAAACAAAGTCTTTTGTAGGTATTTCTTGACCTGGCTAAAACGCATTGAGCCGTGATAATCCCATACATTCTTACCAATTTTCGATCGCTCGTATTTCTGTTAAAAAGCATTATTTTGGCTCAAAAGTTCGTGATGATACTTTAAATTAGATGTTCTATCGAGGACAATAATAACATTTCGCTAATTTGGCTTCTAAATAGCACTTTTAGAATGTCACGTGATTAGTGCAAACCAAGAATNACTTGTAAAATTAAAAGATTGTATGCTATTGCGGCAAGGTTTATAACTTTCTGTCGTTTCATCGTCGAGTTTATTTACATTTGTCGCTTAAAAATAGTGTCAACTGATCAAAATCTAAATCTTCTTCCTCTGCGAACAAATAAGTTAAATTGATATTTGTGTACATAATCTTTGATTACTGACGTTTCATTCATTCGCTTGACAATATCAAATTTACAGTTCAATTGAAGAGAAATATTACTCTTCCGAAATCACCACGTGTAGAKGGAAAGGTTTGGGTCTAGATTCATAAATTATTAAATTTCCCCTCGTGATTTTCCTCTCAAGACGAATCTATCACATTCACAGTTCTGATTTCTATAATTTTCATTACTACCATTCGTGTTTTTACTTGTTATACACACATGTTCAAATCCAGAGGCGGAAACTACAGATATGCCCCTTGGGTCTACTCTTGACAATTTGAAATTTTCTGCCTTTTAATTTTCATTATAATTTCCGAACATGATAACAGCAATCTAGTTTTAAAACATCGGGAACGCAGCGGAACGGGAACTTTATAATTATATTATACCCTCTATTCCTACTGTGTATTCAGAGCTGTAGCCAGGAGGTGTACATCAAATCACTATAATACTGCACCAATCGAAACCCGCTTTTTTGATCGCTAACCTAAGTACAACAGCACAACAGGTTAAGTTTATATTTTTTTGTTAGGAAGAATTTTTTATTGTCCATTTTTGTCATGAGATTCGTTCTGATCGGTGGACGGTGCTGACTGCCGATTGTCCATGAAAAACCTCTTCAGTTTCTATTGCGTCTCCGAGGTTATTAAGGTCCTATTTTTGCTCGCATTGAAGCCGGGACATTGCTATTTGCTATTGCTAGTGTTTCTTAGTTAATCAATCAGTGATACTCACTATTTAAGAGCAGCCGACCAGTATACTTTGTTAAAACATGACACACTACTTTTAAACGTCAATATCAATGATGATGTCACAAAGTAGTGTCCCAACTAGTTCGACAGCAAGACGGAGATTCTCGTTGCTTTGATTGACTGACTGAAGTTAGWACTGTGTTGATCTACTCTTTTACTAGACTCCAAGAGTGAAATCACCGAGCTCAATCTTGGTAAGCACTTAGTATCATTTATATCTGGTTTCTGTGAGAAAACAATGAAAAGAAATTCAAACGGATGAGTTAAATCGTCGTRCAGGTGGCGATCAAATAGGATTTTTCTTAATATGATTTCAGTTTTTATAAATGGTAATAATTTGTATATCGTTATCTCTTTCTTTTTGCTTGATCAATATGGTTAAGCTACAACTGTCGATATACCTTATGCTCTAATAAAACCTTAAATGTTTTCTTTCGTTTAACTAAATATCACACCTTAAAGTGCCGGTGAATGTTTAGAATTATCTCATCCGTGTTTAGACTTTTTCCTGTTATAACAGATTTTTCCTTTTTCTTGCTACAAAAAGACGACCAAACGTCAACGATTTGTCGCTCCTCAGAAATTGTGTTTCAAAATTTGTTTTTTAATGGTGCGTTGACGCAATCTAAGGCTTTAATCAGAAAGTTCCGACGCAACTGTCTTTATTATTAAGTACTTGTATGTTTAAGAGCGTCTAAGAGAGTCATGCGAAAGGTGTGAGTATTAATCGAAAAATTGAACCATAAGTTAAGGTGGGACGATCGAGACTTGATATTTATGATTTGTATTCACATCAGAAGACTGGCGAAAAAAAGGCAGTTAGAATACTAGTTTTTAAATAAAAAGGCAGTTATCTCTGAATTGGCATCGAGCCACTTTATTTTTTATCGCCTACTTGTAAGATTCGGTCTAAAGATCTAATGATGATAGAGTAGTTTTCATTAACCATGAAATACATTTTTAGAGTACTGCACCATATCAATCTTAATTGTTGTGCATGGTTTTTCTTGGTTTGGTGCATCACACCCGTCTCGTCCCCAGTCTCTCTATCTCTTATCCCGCGCGCGAAAGGCATGAAGGGAAGATTTGCGAGACACGAAGGCGCGATACTACAACAGTTGATTAATACTTCATGTCATTTCTATACCTTTACAGCAATGAACTTAACCCAAGTCACACGCCCAACACAGTACCAGACCTCCACGACTATTCAACATAATAATCAAGTCCCGGATGAAAAGCCGTACTGGTATTGGATAGTGGTGATCATAATTGGYTGTGTAACAACATTTGGTAATTGGTTGGTTATTTACGTTATTCTCACACGTCGTCGACTCCAGACGATAGCTAATTGGTACATACTATCATTAGCGATCTCTGATCTGCTTATTGGTGTGTTCGTAGTTCCATCCGCGGTCGCTCATGAAATGGTSACCATTCCTCATTTTCCTATTTGGGTAATGTTCTATAATTCCTTGTTCTATGTGTCGGTTGGAAACCTTTGCGTGATGACTTTAGATCGTTACATTGCTGTAACGCAACCTTTTCGTTACTTCACCGTGATGACCAATCGGAGGGTGATTTTAAGTGTAGCGTTAGCATGGCTCGTTCCCAGTCTTATTGGTTTGCTTCCGATCACGTGGCACCACATTAGTAACATATCGCGCAAATCATACATTGATCGCGTGTACTATTCGGCTATTGTCATTGGACTAGAAATAATCCCGTGCGTCGTCATGGTGATCATCTACGCTCGATTATTCGTCATTGCTCGGAAACATTCACGACAAATTACAGCTCACAGAAAAGCTTGCTTCGAAAGTCAGTCGGAATATAGTCGGGTGGCATTCGGGCGAGATTCCAGTGTTTCGTACTCGCATCGYCGGGAACAGCGATCCAATCTGAAAGCCTTTGCGACTATCTTGTTGATGTTTGTCGCTTGCTGGACTTTRTCGGCTTATAGAACACTTTGTAATTACAGGCTTGTACAGTGTACAGCAGTGACAACTCTTTTGACACAGATTTCCCGTATTCTGATGTTCCTAAACACCGCTTTGAACTTCATAGTCTATGCTATACTAAAAGCAGACATACGCAAAGAATTTTGGGTAGTTTTGAGGAATTCTTTCAAAACTTTTCAGAGAATTGCATAATCTTCATTGCAGCCAACACGTACTAATCTGTGCAAATGATTTTAACTATTTATAACAGTTTATTTACTATTTAACAATTGGTACGACAAATCGCACTCTTTCATCTGCACTTGCATCCMTGTGGGACATTACATGTCAACACATGATATATATTGTAAGAAGATCGACCATACTGAGTGCACATGCGCAATCCTGGAATAAATTGTAGTTTTGTTAGCATTTTTTTCATTCAAAAGCCTAGAAAGATTAAGATATATTAACACAAGAATGTCAATATTTGAAAGCTCTGAGCGTGTGCTTTTTTAGGCCTTTCTTTTTTTACTTATTTGATGTGCGGTACTATCCTGACTGATGAAAGCGGATGTAGGATTGATGATGTGGAAAAGCGGAGAAGTGGGTATACAAGAGATATAACCGATCTATACAAAGCCTCAGGTGTGAGAGTGGGTTTCGCGGCCCAAACTCATGCTTATTTAGTCTTACACTTACAGCTTTGAGCGCGGCTCACACTCGGCAACACAAGCAGAAACAGAAGGTGGCTTACAATTGACATAAGGCATGGTCKTATGCTTACGCTTTGCTGGTTCACACTGATAATCTCTCAACATAAGCACACACTCACAGAAACATAAGGAAATTGAGAAGTTTTCATTTTCCTATGGTCAGCTTCTGTTTATGTTTTCACCAGTTCTTGTGTAAAAACATTTTCTTCTTCTGATTCGTCTTTTGTTGTAGTATGAACCGGCCCAATAAAACTTGTCTTTTAGCTGTCGACTGTATGTTTTACTTGGTTCAGTATTTGTAATATTTCCTGTTTGGTGATGAGATGCACACTTTGTCTGCAGTCTCAATTACAAAAAATGTTTTTTATATATATATTTACATAAGGGCCTTCCCCCGTCATGAGATTTCTCATTAAGCTTCTGACAGCAATCACAAATGTCAAGACTGCCTAAAGGATTCAATCTAGTGGGATTATCAGCTGCAATTATTTAAAGCAGATATTACGAAAATCGAGTGTTTTTGGTCCCATTATCGTGCGGTTCGTGATGATAGGTTTTGCCGCAGTCATTACTCTGCTATATAAAGCWGGTAATGAATTCACACTGTCAATAAAAGATGTTTAATATATCGCGTTTCTACATTACGCATGAATTTTCTAGTTTTACGAGGCTTTTAAACCGTTTACACTGGCGGTTGGTTACATTGTGCAGAATCAAGCGTAAATGTGCGTTAATTAGAATCTTTTATATGATTTCATGAAGTTTAAAAGGTATTCAGAGAGCTTTACATCGTAAGAAKAAAACCGAACATATCGGCTAGATGTGTGTAGGGGCGTGGCTCTTGTGCGTTTCAATTGCTCGAGTATGGTTTTCCAAAAACCAAGTATTTTTTTCAAACCTGTAAAAAATACTATATCTATTGTATGCATGCAGTAGAAAACGGTAAAATTAATTTTGTACTGCAATACACTGGGCTTTTTTATCTTTATTTATCAATCATGGGCTTATGTCTTTAAAGTCTTTGATAATCAGAAAGAGAAAATAACTGGATCATTTATCGCATCAAAAACAGCTTCTATGACAACGTTACTGATCTTATAATACCTTAAAGTAGTTGCGGAAATTAAAATCAATCGTTTTCGTTGACTTAGCTGTACAATGAATGGCTTAACGCATGCGGAATTCATAAAACCTCTCTYGTATTGATGTTATTATTAAYAGTGAAAACCACAACGGAGCGAACGATCTATAGCAAGCTGTTATTAGTCCCCTTGTCAAAGGCTTCCAATCAAATGAAAACACAAAAAAACTGCTGCAAACAAACATGACAGCGATGCTCTCCTGTCGTGGCTGTGTCTCATTAGTTGCGACGCTGGGGCCGGTGTTTTTTTAACGGGATTTAAATTGTGGTACAAATCGTGTATAATTCCAAAATCGGATGTAAGTAATAACGAAGCGGAAAAGGTTTCTCCACTTGGTTGGCTTATTAGTTTCATCGTTCATTTAATGAGTTCTTAACTGTTCTTTCTAAACGACACTGAGTTGAATTTACGATTGGGTAAGCGCTTTGTTATTACTGATGAATCTTCTTATGTGATAATATAAACATCCTTACACTTGTCATCTGTTTATTCTAAACAAACCGTTTTTCAGTTTTGAAGAGCCTGATTCTCTTTTAGTCTWATTCTTTCTCAACTCAATCCGTTCGACGGCATCAACAGCATTGATTAATAATGTGTTTAGAGTTTTCTTCACATTAAGAAATAAGTATATATYATAAGGTTTTCTGGTGTAAAAAAAAAGCTTTTTAATTTGATACCCAGTCTTTTGCAATTATGTTTTTGATTACTGCCAACTGCGTCTACAACGGCAAAATCAATTACCATGAATTACGGTAGAAGTGAATCTCAATTAGTTATTTAGAGAATATATCTGGCAGTCTCACAAGTTCTTGTTATGCAGTTTGGTAATGAAAATGAAGGCTTGAGGATCTTCAGTACAGCRCTTCCGCTATTTTTGCGTCAACGCGGAAAAACTTGAAAAACGCATTTGCGCAAGCTCACACTTACCTAACTTATGCATATATGAACTGTAATGTGACCTTGGTCTGTCACAGAACGTGAGCAAGAAATCGTATAAATTGATGTTCACCGAACTAAAGCGTACCATCAGCTGGTATTGTAGTAGAGCATATACATGTTAACACGTATTGGTTAGACGTTGAATTGTATATGTTTTTAACATTATAGGTTTAAGAGGTACACCTGGCTATCGACGTGCTGCTGAGCTCTTGATAAATAGATGCTATATAGCTTTTGACAGATGGTTGAGTTAGCCTTCCTTAGATTAACATCTAAGTGGCTGGTCTTTTTTCGTACTTTTGCAGATGATATGTACAGTTACGTAAAACGCTGAGTAAGTCTAAATACAGCTTTACACACTTGAGTTATCCGTGGTCGTTTTATCGTCGCCTATCGCCAGTCAAATTGATATGAGATGTATCTACAACATCAATTCTAAAGCTTCCGTTGCCTAAACAAAAATCAACTTGCAATACAGTGCRCTATTTATTAACAAAATGAACAATACAAGTGTACATGCGATAAAAAGAAACGTGGTTCTTCAAAAGCATGARTTGTGGTATTGGATTCTTTCGATTCATCTTTCATTTCTGTCCGTCGCTGGTAATAGTGCTGTTATTTACATTATTTGGTCCACTGCGAAACTACAAACCAAGCAAAATGCATTCATAATATCTCTTGCGGTTGCGGATTTATGCGTGGGACTTTTTATTACACCTACAGGTCTTATCTGTACTTACTTTGAACGATGTGAAATCCAGCTTCAAGTTGTTTTCTATAACTTCTTGTTGCTTGCCTCAATGACCAGTTTGATTATCATGACATTGGACCGATATATAGCGGTAATTTACCCTATGAAATACAACGTACTTGTAACTAAAGTAACAACAGCACTGCTGATAGCGCTAGCCTGGATCTTTGCATTCTTTATCTCATTTATACGACTAGCTTGGCTCTACGCCGATCTGGATGCGTTAAAACGTAACGACCGTGTCTATAGACTAGTCACAAACTTAACAATGGGGCTTCTACCTTGTTTGATAGTCCTCTTTGCTTTCGCTAAGATCTTTCTTGCTGTTAGAGGACAGTACTCACGCCAAGAATCCCAACGTATGCAAGTTGCTTTTAACCACAGTACAGCAACATGCACAAGTGTACTTGAACAAGARAGTCCGCGTGTCAACCACCGAAAAAACAACACTCACAAGCACCGCAAGAATTCCTCAGTGAGAGTTCTTGGWGGGATTGTAATTTTRTTYGTTTTCTGCTATTCATTCAATCTCGCGATATCGTTCTGCGAAGACTACGATCTCTGTAAAGTATCCGACAATTTCCGCGACGTTTCGATGATTTTTATTTATATAAATTCGTCAGTGAATTTTATAGTTTATGCGTTTTTGAAGAGAGAATTTCACCAGACTCTAAATTTGAGATTTCGCTCACTCAGGCTATAAAAACAATCTTTATAGTTTTCCAGTGTTATTGAGTATCCTCATGCAGACAGCAGACTTAGTGAGTATATTGTTACAAATGATATACTTTGTCATCAGTATCAGCACAGATTTAATAATGTGAATGACTTCAGTGAAACTGAAAGGGAAAATCACTCGTTAATTAAAGTTACAACTCTATTATTACYCAAACCTCAACCTATTTATAACTGTCAAATATCACAACAAGAGYGAGCCAAAACCGTCACTCAAWTCAATCGCYTGTTGGATTTTTGCATATATCTGTATATGTGAAAAAGAATTGACCCTATAAATATCCATTCTCGCAATTCGTTTCCATCCGTCGGATTTACGATCACGTTACGTAAAGCATAAAGGGATAAGCTTTTGCTTATATTAATTAAGATTATTCTATATTTTTAGATATAGCTTTTCAGGTGGTTTTTCTTAATCATTTAAGAACATTGTTTTTTACCCTGAGGGGTTAAATGCTTTGTTGATTACTTTTATAACACTACACCCTTCATCAAACAAAGCAATATCCATGCTAGATAGACCTAAAATTGACTTGATTCTCGAGATTCATTGCAACCTGTWCGGTTGGGTGTCTAAAACTAAATGGGGTATATAAGGGGCTACACTAGCTATATGAACCAAGAAAATTAAAAGGAACTAAAYTAAAAAAGCTATACGTGCATACAGCTGTGTATATACAATAATATCGAATTGGAGATTGCGCAGCTGAAAAGAACTAATATATTTTTCTCACTTTTAGTGATATACAATTTCAAGTTTTGATTTTTGTTATTTTGAGTGCAACATCAGTAATCTATTTCAACATAAATTGATTGCGCTATATCCAGCAGTTGTGTTCACTAAATCATAGTGCACTTTGCGATAAGGGTAGTTTTTTTTAAGTCTGCATAGGTGCGCAAAGCATGATAAATGTATCCCATCATGCTATACGTGCTTAGTGTATTGATTCTGTAATTAATTGCTATGACAACGGTGAAAAATTTGGCTCCTTTTATRTTTTACTCTGTGTGACGGACCGAGGGAGGCCTAATCAGGGTTGTCATCCCTAAGAAATACTTAGATCCAGAGAAATTTGGATTTAACCTCTCTATTTGAGATTCCCAGTATCAATAGAACCAGCGAGTAAGTGCACAGCGCAAGGCTTGCTTTAGAACAMTTCACCTGGTTTTGTTTGCTCTTCTTTTTACATCAACTTGCCATACACTTAAACAGAAACTGACATGAATTAATTCCCTTGGCTTTCTCTTTGTTTGCTTTTCAGAATTGATCTGATAAGACTTCCTTCAGCAGCTTGATTGAATTAGTTTGATGTATGATAAGATTAGAGATCGGAATGGATGGTTATTTTATAATCATACGGTGTCTTAGCTCAAAAATAAAATTAATTCAACATGAAATTGTACGATCTTTACATTATAGATCCCCATATTAGTGGTAGTTATACACAAACTTTGACAAACTYTAGGTCACCGGCTTTTATCAGAGAGCCAGTTGAATTAGCTCGTTATCCAACGATTGATCTCTTTGCCGCGCTCCCCCCCTCCCTATAGATTTTGTCAAATAAAATAGATGTCCCCCCCACAGCCTAGTGCATGGTGTCTGTACTGCAGAGGTGTCCTGTTGCGTATTAACTGTATCTGAGGTTTGAGTATAATAGGGGTGGTCGTACTACTAGAGATCTTAGTTGTATTAAAGAGGTTTATGGTCACTAGTTGTCAGTCTTATTTACCATCACTAAARGTTTCATTTCACTATCCTATCTTACAGTGGCAAACAAATGTGTGAAAAATCAATTAGTTTTCGAACTAAAAACACACAAAAACCAATTTATTTACTTCAAACGCATATAAAATCGATTGACTCCGTTACTATACCCTGTGTTCTCTACTTAGCTTCTATTGAAGGCGAATTGCGCGCTCTTACAGGTTAAMAACATCATTTTTCTACGAGTGGGTCCAATGAGAAAAAAACATTAGATGATGATTTATAAGTTCAATTATCCAACTGAAAYACGATGTAATTTTTATTACAAAACCTTAATTTTCAAATACAATTGCTTTATAAGCATAGTTAGAGTTTACCAATTACCATTGTGACTGAAGATATAGGTTTAATCATGTGTAATTTGTAAAATCTGAAGTGTTCTTAATTCATATGTGCTTTTCATAATTACGTACGTATAATCTAGAATTAGCATTTGTATAGCTGCATGCAAAGAGAAATGTTGTGTTAACTAAAAAAAAACAGTGAGAAAAAATCAAAATCTTTCTTTATGGAAGACCAACCACTGATCTGTCTATTGCTACACAAAAAAACAGCGTAGCAAATGAACAAAGCAATTAAAGCAAAGAGTTCATATCCCTCACTGTCCATACTTAAGTAGATCTTACGGGGTTTTGCCAAACAAACTGACAAAAACATTCATTCGACCAATCAAACGTTATTAACGATGGAAACGTAAATCCATTAAAAAATTGACAATTACTCAACGAGCGATGGTGTTAAGTTGATTGGTGCTSTACWCYATTGCGAGTTCATCATTTAAGAGCCTCGAGARTTTTTCTCCGGATTAATGTTGTTGTCGGCAATCTCTTGGCATAAGTGCACCTGTCCAGTTGGTTTTGCGTTGGTTTTTCGTATCAACAATCGGRAAATAATCCTCTGTTCAAGTTTACATAGAGATACTGCCCTCAATTTTATACAGCTACAMGTTATAGCACTTAGAATTCTCTTTTCCTTCAAAACAGTCTGCCATGGAGTTTTGGAAAGCCGCTGGAAATCCTCCCCATTAAGAAAGCKAGAGTGCTACGCTACACTTATCATTATATATTGATACAAGACTTTGCTGTTCTGTGGAAGACAAACTGGATAAAATCATAGCGCTAGAACTCTTGTCCAGAGAGTCGACTGTATTCTGCTGCCGCAATTGTTACTAAAAGGACAAGGCAACAAATGAAGRATTTTCAACGTGGACACTTGTATCCCAGCAACACGAGAACAGCACGATAACACAGAAAGGTGATTTACATTTTCAAGTACCAGTTTCCTAATAGTTCAACAAAAAGACTAAAAAACAATCCCAATTCATTCGATAAAGAAATAGAATTCTGTCAATTTAGCGATTTTGAAGTCAATTCATTATTTTCCAGTTTTATGGTTCGAAAAGAAGGTGTTTCACTGGCGAGAAATTGAGTGACATTTTTATCTAGTGAAGATCATTTAAAAGCTCTATAATTGTAGATTTTGCATTTTAACATTGGGTTATAACTGTTCAGGGTTTAGCACTATGAACACATCAAGTAATGTTACTCTTGGTAATTCTCCATATGATTTGTCCAGGTCTGTGTGGTACTGGTTAACACGAGGGTTTATTGCCCTCTTAACGGTGGTTGGTAATGGTTGGGTTATCTATCTTATYGCCAGGATACCACGTCTTCATCTCATACCAAACTGGTTTCTACTAAACCTTTTAGTTTCAGACTTTTGTGTTGGAATCGTTAACTTTCCTCTTGGTATTACCTGTAAGTTCCTGGTACAGTGCAAACCAGATTTGTCTTTTCCAGTTTTAAATGCATTTCTTAACGCTTCTGTTACAAATCTTTGCCTGATGACGCTTGATCGGTACCTCGCTGTTGTTCGTCCGTTTCGATATCAAGGTTACATGACAAAGATTCATGTCGCAATAGCGATAAGCATATCATGGATTGTTGCATGTGGGATATCATTTCTCTACTGGGCTCTCGACAGAGAGCATGCGCGGTGGTATATGATTTTCTACYTAATCATCTTGGAAATTGCGCCCGCAATGTTCTTATCACTAGCGTACACCCACATGGTAATTATAGGCCGACGTCATCTTAAACGAGTAACCAACATGATGGCTCAGTTGAACTTTAATTATGGCGGGAAATCCTCCAGTTACCGTAGCAACGAGAGATCAGCTGTCAAAATAATTGGATCAGTGACAGTRCTATTCTTAATTTCGTATTCCTTGTCAGTGTATTTGACAATTCAAATTATAATTCTCRAGGAAAGACARCCTGACATTTTGYTTTTGATTTCAACCGTCATGGTTTACTTTAATTCTGCTGTTAATTTTGTAGTATATGCCTTGTTTAAAAGTGATTTRARACGAGAAATGATGCGCATATTTCAGAATCGTCGGATTCGCGCCTACGAGTCTAGTGAAGGACCTTACAGACTCAGCTTCATGTCGAGTCAAAGAACTACGACCAGAGTGGCTACTACCACYGAGTAATTCTGTCATTTCAATGAAAACGAGAATTAAATAATATAAGAAAAAACTTATCTCTGCCATATTTAATCTTCTTCGTGAAATCTTTTAGTGTATTTGGTGCTGAGAATAGATTAAATGTTGATCAATGAAGTGYGATGAAAAAAACTCCTTCCTGTTCAGAAAAAAAAGCGTTTATTGTTTCTCAATATTTTACTGTACTAAAAGTGGACCTGAACTAAACAAGACGGTATTGATTGTTTCATTTTTATCAATTAAATTTAATTTGCGTATAGTGGATCGCACTTCAACCGTGCACCTGTACAAACTAAATAGTGCTGTTTAGCTGCATTTAGTAAATCGTGCATTCGGTACGCAAATAAATTGAATCGACACAAATGAARCATTCAATACCGTCTTGCTTCAGGGCCACTTTTAGTACAAATAAGTACTACTTAGATTTTGTACAGTTGCACGGTTTAAATGCGATCACTCTACATATGATCAGAACACGATACTTTGTGATGTTCTACTTTAGGGGACAATATACATGGGTCAAAATGTTTCACTGTTTTTGAGGAACAATTAGGATGTAAACATACTGTGACATAATAAAGAAATAGACCAATGTAAAATTATGATTCCATATAAAAGGACCATGATCAAACTTTATCCCTTACAAGTCAGCTCAAGTTCATTTCCCAATGAATGCAAGTTGACTCTTCCAAGTAGACTCAATGCCCTCAAATAAACATTGCTTTCATGGGATATGTGACAATACTCTAGTTTCGAGATCTCATTTGTGCAGCCTTAGCCTCGAAAGCATGTAAAATATTCTTTTATTCAGCAGCTTTATTCAGCTTGTCAATAGACCAAGTAACAAGTACGAAATCACTTGGAGTATACATTGATAGCAATTTAACTTGGAGTGACCATATTGATAAACTAACCAAGAAAATTGCTTCAGGAATTGGGGCCATTAAGCGAGTAAGACACCTTGTTCCTCAACTAACTTTGCAAAAAATTTATCACGCCCTAGTCCAGCCGCACTTTGACTATTGTAATGTCGTTTGGGGCAATTGTGGTACTACTCTACAYAATAAATTGCAGAAACTACAAAATAGAGCAGCCCGTGTCTTGACCCATTCAAGCTACGATGCCAGCGCTGACAATCTTTTTAAAATTCTGGGCTGGAAAACCCTAGATTGCCAGCAACAAATGGCACGTGCAACAATGGTTTTTAAATGTCGACATGGGCTTGCTCCTAATTATCTTTGTAATAAATTTAGTAACCACATTTCTTCATATGCACTAAGGGACTCTGTCGACAAAGTCAATGTTCCATTACCACGTACTAACTATGGTAAAAATAGCTTCAGTTATAGTGGAGCTATTGCATGGAACAGCCTTCCAAGTAAACTAAGGCAGGCAGAGTCCCTTAGGCAATTTAAACATCTATTATTACAAACAATTTAAGGCACGGCATTCATGGAAAACAGCTTTTTTAGTTGATATTTGTTTTTCGTTACATTGTATACGTGTTTTTAATTACGTATTGTATGTTAGCTGATGATTAACCGTGGATAAATAAAGATTTATTATTATTATTATTATAGAGATCCTATTGTAATGCAAACACTCTGTTTACGAAGAAGACAAGAAAATTTATGCTTGATTGAAGCTAAGCTTGCACAACTGTTTATAACTTCAACGAAGTATTTCTTAGACCCTGTTTACATGAGATAGGGTGCCGCTACGCGGTAGGGCTAACTCTTTTGTTTTCTTTTCCCTGGAGAAATTTAAAACAAGGGATTTTATTGGTCCTACCACTAGGTGCACCCTATCTCATGTAAACAGTATTAATTAGTATCTTTTGCTCATTGAACCAACATGAAGGCCGGTCTTTTTTGTTCTCAGGAATTTCACGAGGAATGGTTGAAAATGATCAATTGAGGCATACACACCTAATTGGAGAAATGTTGTTGGGTCCCAAAAGGTCAAATCAACGAGTAAAATGTGCGAATACCGCATTTTTTTACTCCAGAAGAGATCTCCTCAATCACCAGTTTACGAAAAACTGCCATGTCAAACTATATAAACAAAAAATATTATAAGTATAAAATATAACGGGGACCAATAATGAGCTAAATTAAAATAATTAATCAAATCAATAATTAATGTTTAATCAMTTAAGAGACAAACAAAGTTGTAGAAGTGACGTACAGTGTAATTTATAAGTCCAGAAGCGAACCAGTAAAGATCTCTTTGATCATTAATGTTGTTAACAACTGCATGTCCAGCTATAAAAAAAAAACAAATTGGTCAAGTATTAAAATATAAGGGTACCAATAATGACCTAAATCAAAATAATTAATCAAATCAAATGCTCACTGTTGATTAATTTATGTAGTTTCAGAAATACTAAATTGTGGTGAGAAAATATAACACCCAATGGAAACCTCAACGTGAGATTTCACTACATGGGTTTGTGCTCTTGATGAGCTTTAGTAACGTTTTGAAAAATATAGAAGGTCATACTTACTTGATCAAAATCGAAAGACGTTTTTAAATTGACGTATTGTGCGAACTGAAAAAAAGGCGAAACAACACAGCTAGTTTTAGTTGTACTATTACTATACATTTATATCTATTGGAATCCATGCTATTTTTAAAAATGTGTGATTGAAAAGAGTGCATGAATTCGAAATTGATTATGGAAGAAGTTCAACAGTAAATCATGGTGAAAGATAGCTAAGACACGTGTTTTTATACCAATTTTTAGTGTTCATAATGGGAAAAACCAACCTTACACACAAAAACACCACAATCATAATCGTTGGTTTGCCTCGGGTAGCCCTACAAGAATGAGAATGAATATTGTCATTTATCCGCACTTCGATTCAAGAGAATCCTAACCAACCACAATACAGCGCGCGTTATTGCTTGCACACGGGATAACACTATACTAACCTCATAGATTGATAGTACCTGCGAGGTACTTAGTTAATAGTATTCATTTGCAGACTAAAAGGATGGAAGACGATTCGCGCACACTTTAAGAAACCGTACGAATCCCACGTTTTTTGTACCCACCTAAAATGGTGCTTCGATGCGCAAAGTACAACGGTTGGTTGAGATTCTTTAATAATTACTAATATCGATCGTAACCCATTGTTTTCCCTTTGCATTAAATCAACGAATGCAGACAGAAACAGGATATCGAACTGTCAATATTAAAATATTGCTGTCTGCTTGCCTGCAGACAGCAATATTGAAAATATTGCAGAATGGCTTGCCGGACTTATTAGTATTAAAGAACACCATGATCTATGCATTCTCTATAGCTAGACAACTTACCTTGAGGTTAATGGACACCCATTCATCTACCTCAAGGGCGTACCCCCTCTCTGCCAGATGGGCGTACTTCATAAATTCCCTGTTGATTTAAATATTTGAAATAAGAATTCTACCACAGAATAGTTCTTTGGCGAAGTTTTGTTTTCTTAGACGCACAGATTTGGGGTTTGATATCAAGGGAATGATCGCTAAATAAATTTCACCAGGCTGGTGATTTTACTGATGATCAAATGCACTAAAGATGTGGTGATTTATTGTAAAGGTTCCGTGGCCAAAAGTAAGTACAATATTCAATAAGTTAAAGTGTTATTTACTCTGATCTACTGCTAGTATTTTAAAACAAAAATCATGGTATTCTCATTATTAAGGCTCTTTAAGCTCACTTACATGGATTCTTGTACAATTTCGTGGTCTGGACATCCAGACAGGGAATCCATATGAAGTACTTCTTTTGCCCTTATATCTATAACCTGCAGGAGAGAACAATGCGCTTTTTACTATCAAATTATAAATCAGCTGACAACCTACAGATGTTAATTGAATTTTGGTTTGACTAGAGTGGCTAGTCACCCCCTTTTTACATAGGGCTTAAAAAAAGATAGAAAAGACAAGAAATAAATTTAACAGGGATGCATTCTGAAAAACAAATAAGCAGTATCGGATTCCTTAGAAATTACATTTTCTCAAGTCTAAAGCTATATCCGTTTGATATATTTTCTTGAGCTAGTTCTTCACTTTGTAACGTTTTTGAACTTCCCTCACCTACTGTGTAGTGAATAAAAGTTTACAATTCTTTAGCGTTTATCTCTAGGATCAAAATGATCGACACAAAAATCGCTGCGGTTATTTATACTTAGAGGATCCTACAGGATGGGCGTGGCTAACCACCCCTAATGGATCCTTGATCCCTTGCCCCCGGTTACTAAAATTGCTAAATGGATTATAATATATTATACACGCCTAATACCTGTTTTTTCTCCACAGCTCGTCGATAATCGCCCAGTTACTGTTAAATTTTGTTGCCAATAGGCTGTCGAAAGCCAAAACGTTGATTCCCTTCTAAAAGAGAATAGTTGAATGTTTTATTTTGTTTTTTGCTTGTTTTGTGTGTCTTCATAACTAATATTATAAAACACAGGGAAGAAAACCCCACGCGAATTTTCATCCCATCGATACATTTGGATATATAATTCAGTATAAATTCTTTACGATTTCCTGGACTCAAAATATAATAGCAAGCTGTTCTACTTCGCGAGGTAGTGACTAAAAACTATCTAAATCTATACTTACATTTCTTGCCTCTTTGGCAATCATCATCATATAAGCAAAAATGACCTGCAATGTGGTGGACGCACTGTTAGTAACCATGATTTTACATAACTAGTATGCTCACTCCATACATTTATTTCCCTACTAGGACTACCGTTGAACATATACCCAAATTTTCGTTTAACTATAACTTTTTTTCGTCGTAATTACAAAATTCATTTTGACATTTCTCGGATCCCTGATCCCCCAGCTTAAACAATCTATCACTGTTTATTTTATACAGATGATCCCGATCCCAACAGCTGTAATTACAAGTCAAAACTAGCGATCGCTGGTCCTGTATGTCATATCACAAGCTTGCAAATCTTATTGTAGCTAACAAACCTTATCGTTTAACCATGTGCTTCCTTTGAGGGTTCTTAAATCCTTTTTTGTGAGAACCAGTCTGCTGTCATTGAATATAATTTTATCATCATCTTCTTGCGCCATCATCTCATTTACCTAACAATAAGATTTTTGAAAGCTAAATTAAAATGTTTCTTCAGGCTAATTCATCTGATTGGCAATTTATTTCCAAAATAAGAATAGACGTGTTGTTTTTACAAAAACAAATAAACAAACARTCAAAAAGAAAAAAATGTCTTTTAGGGAAGTTGCTATCAAAAGTGAGTGAACTATAACTCCTATCAATGATCCTTTGTTGAACAAAGTGTCACCGCCGCTTATTATATAACAATACACCTGTAACCGTACATCATTACGTGGGYTTCCTGTACTGAGAGCAATGCATGGCTTGCAGCTATATGAACTGATTGACAGAGGTAGTGGAGAGGTTGACGGTGTCACTTATGCGTGCATGGTCGCTTGTGACTGACGCTAGACTATAATTGTATAAGAGAGGTTTAGCATGACGTTCACGGCAAAAGGCAGAAAAGATTACATGATCTGCTTTTTTTAGAGTTTAACATTGCAGTTTCAACGCGAGAGCGGGTTAGTTTGAGGTTGTCGTGAAAAAAAGCCGCTCTTTCAAAGGACTACCAAAATCACAAGGTCAGGCACGTAATTCTCGGGTCATTGGCTCAGCTCTGCCATTAGCCATTTGCCGTGAACGTCATGCTTAAACTCTCTCTAGTATTACAATACCGTAGCTGGAAAGTTGCACAGTGTAAGTAAACATTTAAGTCATTTAGTCAACGAAGAAAATATGGCATTAAAAACTAGTCAGGTTGAAAAACTACAAACCTCCTTTCTTGTTTTTTTATCAAGGTTTATCCTCAGAGCGTCTGGTTCCTAAAAGAGTTGACAAAAAAGAAAAAAGTATTATCTAACCGTGACATGGATTTAATGAATTTACTCAACTCGTAGAACGTTTATTCAGTACCTTTGCATCCGCGGGTCTTGATTCTTGACGGATTTCAAGTGGTTTCTATCAAAAAAAAAATTCAATCACATATAGTAAGTTAAAATATTGATTTTATTCTGAGGCACTGCCGAATAAGACTTACATACTTTTTCAGGGTTGGATTGTNAATATACCTAACCAAATATCAAAAACACCCCAGAAATTATGGTATATCTCTATTATATTTTGTCATGATTGCCTAGCATCAGGTTGTTACAGACAAAATATCAGCGACGGTATCCCATAATTTCTTGGGTGTTTTTGATATTTGGTTAGGTATATTTATATATATAAAAATGTCTCATAATTTGTGCAAAAGGCTGTATATTTATATATATAAAAATGTCTCATAATTTGTGCAAAAGGCTGTATAGTAACAGTATATGAGTTTCCTGTCATGGAGTCTGCCCTTTCATAAAGTGAGATTAGTCCACAAGTAAAAAGAGGTTTAAGGGACACTATTTGTTCATAAATCATACTTACAATGTCCTGTATGGCAATTTCTGCCTTGATGAATCTACGCGAGCAAAGAAAAGATAAAGTGTTTTAATTAACACAACAACATTTTATACACTGACTTTGATCTCAGAAATGCTTACCACAATTCCTTGGAGGGTGTACGAAGGACTCTCCCCATCCACGCTTAATTGATCCGGAATGTACAGTTTTCTATAAGGTAAACAGGAAAAAATAGACAAAAAATCCATTAGTAACGAAAATCTTGTTAAAGTGAATTCAATGCAAAACAAAACAAAATGTACCTTTCTAATTTGATTGGTCAACAATTTTTCTTTTCTAGACCATATCTCATTATAACTAAAAAAAAGCGTGGACGGGAAGAGAAGAATATGCCTAACCCTACCGGTTTTAGTTTTATTTTGGCATCTTTCGCAGTACCTGTCAACAAAAATATAGTAACAAATTTACACTGGAATAATAGTACATGATGGAGAGTCCCTGGTACCACTGTTTCTCACTTGTAGAAAAACATTTGCTCCATCCGAGAACATAAAATATTCGATTAAAGTTATTTCATTTTATTAATGGAAATGGAATCATGTGCAATATTGTAACTCACACTTTGTTGTGGCCGTCGAGTATTTCGTCCTCGAAATATTGTTTCATTGCCTCATTGATTGTTGGGGCTACCGGCAGGGTTAGGCCATTGAAGTTTTCGATATCACATTGTGTCTGTGATGTACAGATAATGTAGAAATGTTATTAATACTTTTTGCAATCATGTCTATTTAGCAAAAGGATATTAGACTAATACAGCTATTTCAAAAGAAATTGAGACATGACCCAAATGGCTTACGCTATTTGACATGCAAAATTTCAACAGTATTTCCAACAAATTAAATTAATTATTCAGTATTTCCAACAAATTAAAGCAAAACCCAAGGCTCCTTCGTGTAATCTCCGCTCGGCAACTTAAATTCGCCATGTGCATCTAATGACCTTTTGAAATAGTTATACGTCCCATACCCCATGGAAACAGAAAAGACTTTTACTAATAATGCAATTGCAATCCAAACTTCTTTTTAAGATTGATACCTGGTCATCACAAACAAAACATGTTTGTCTTGGGCTACACGCCCCCATGAAGGTTTGCTGTGATTTTGGTAGCTGAAATGTTGGAAAATAGCAATCACTATCAAACTGTGAACTTTATTATTGAGTTTGCGTAACACAAATGGATGTTGACTGTGTATCTAAGGCCTAATTTTCCTGTGATTGAGGTACCGTAAGAAGACAGAGAATAGGCTTGAAACACAATTCTTTTTGCTTTCACAAGTATACCCGTATCCTATGAGCCACATGTGCACGGGACCGAAATAATAATAGAAATAATGAAATCATTTCCTGGAAACATCTCATTTCCCAGAAACCCTTAACTCACTGAAGCGAAAAAAAGTACAAACCTTGGAAAAAATATCTAACAATATACACAGACACTCATGAGCGTCCTGCTGGACGCCCACCTTGAAGTTTGTGTTGTGGCTATTGAGTATTTTCTGAAAAAAAAAAAATATATATATATAATAAGGATAAGTAAGGAATATATAAAGCTAAGTCGAATCATAATATTTGTGAAATAGTTATCGATCGTATATGGTTAAATGCGCTGTGATGTTCAAGGCTTAAATGATCTTATTATTTAAATTTTAGTTGAATTTTTTTGATTTCATTATCATGCCATCAAACACTGAAACCCATGAAAAAATCCCAAAAAGTAAAGTCTTACTAGCATTGAATACTAAGTGTCCAGCTAATCTAGATCATCATACCATTATTTTTGAAGGCTGCACTTCAGTCTTTTGATCTTTGATGGAGAGCAGAGTGTTGACCACTCCCTCAAGCTCCTCGATTTGAGGTCGTACCTCAACTATCGAGGAATCATCTTGGGGAGTGGCTAAAAAACTCTGCTCCTTTTGCTTCTCAATGAATTCTGTAGAAGGAAACGTTGAATATTAATATTACATTGCAAGCCATGCGAGCATCTTTAACTGACATTAGGAATCAGACCTTTTCGAGTTGAAATATACCTATTTCAAAAAGGGTTGTAGGATAAAATGGCGAATGTCAATCTTTGAGTGGTGATTGCACGACAGAATGTAGTAATGGGTATCACTCGATGGAATAACAACTGATTTGTACTGTAAGATAGTCTGTGGTAAACATTGGCTCCATTTAGTCTCCATTGCTATATAATGTAAGGTGAATCACTATAGTCCCTTTCAGTCGTGCGTTCATCCTTCAACAATCGCCGTTCGCTTTTGAAATATTTCCCCCTCCTCTGGCCCCCCTCCTCTTGTTCAAGTTTTGGGTGCCGTGGCTAAAAATCATACAGAAATGGTGTACCAAAGAATTTCAAATCTTCAAATAAACCGGTCAAAACCTGCTTACCTTCACATACTAGATTCTAAATATCCCTATGCATCTTCCTTTAAGAGATGTAATAATCTCAATCAAAATAATTTGCCAAATAAGCATGAAAAATCGCTATACTCGTAAAAAAATAACGCAGAAGAATCCAAACGCACGCTTCGCGCCATTTTGCTTACGAAGCGCTCAATGGTCGATGGGACGAAGTCAGGAAGCCCACGTGTAGTGAACGCTTTCCAGAAAAAGATACGAAATTTAATGTATTTCATTTAAATTCATTTTAAACATATTCCTTACGCTCTTGAAAGGCAATGCATGGTATAAGAGTTGAAATTTCCAATAAACTGGTTATCAAAGTCCCCAGTCAAAGTCCGCCTAACACGTGTATGAGGAGTGACATGGTAAGAACCCATGCCAAAAAAATTATATATTCACTCAATTACTATTTTAGGCATCAAGTTGTATTTAAAAAACATTTACCGTTTGAGCTGCACTTTATTTTGCCTTAGTTTTGCATCCTCCTTCTTGGTCGGTCTAATGAGACTGCCGTTCGCTCGATATTTTTGAAAGCGACAGTCGGCCATTTTTACTGAAAGCGAAAGGTTAATTAATATCAATATCAAATGCGTTGGAAAAGTATCGTGAGCGACTTACTTTGTTCTTCAGGTTTGAACAGCTGTAAATCTCTTTCAGTCTTTGTCATTAGTCCTCTGAATCAGTAACATATGTTCGCCTCTCAAGTCAGCACAACTGAGCAGCGCACCGCACCTTTTCAGACTATAATGCAACTGATTCTTAGCACGCTGGAATGAAACAATTTTGAAATGTTCCAGCATGCCTCATCGACCCTGCCGATACTGCGCAGAAGCCTGACACGTGCCTGCATTCTGAACTGTTGCAAATTGCATGAAAAATAGGACGATAACCGGCATTTTTGCCCGGTATTTTTGTGGCGAAAGGCCTTAAAGACCCTCCCTTGTCTCAACACCCTAGAACGATACTGTACTTCGATGTGTGTTGCAAACAGGGACATTGTGGTCAGCACTATTGCATGTTATTGAATTCTCTTTGACAAGAAATGGAATAACCTGAATGAATGGACATTGTACAAAAAAAACTATTACTCGGGCTTCCCATCTAAAATCCTTTCGTTATTTTTATGATTCAATGAGGTCTATTTATCATAATTCGATTGTATCATATGTGTTTTTCACTTTGTAATGAGATATTTCAGTGATTTCGAGTTTTCGAATTTTGGGAATTTCTGTAAGGAAGCCCGAGCACAAATCTGAAGCTGAATGTGAAAGCCAAAGTGAATCTGAAATCCCATACTACTAGGGCTTGCTATCTGAAATCCTTTGACTATTTTGATGATTCCGTGAGCTCTATTTATCATAATTGGATTCTATCATATGTGCTTTTCACTTTCTAACCGGATCTTTCATCCATTTCGAGAAAAAAATTCGAACTGAAAAAATGTTTTTGGACATTTCTGTAAGGAAGCCCGAATTCGAGTCTGAAACTCAATCAGTGACGTCACTGAGATAGTCCCGAGCGGGGAACAGGGAGCCCGGCACTAAGAACGGTTGCGAGGAGACTAACACTCAAAGTGATTCTGAAATCCCCATACCTAAGGAAATTAGTAAAAACCGGCTTTAGTATGTGTCATCTGTAAATTGAATGCATTCACAACGTTGCAATCACATTAAAAAAACAATTTTGAAATTTCACCTTAAGCGGAAAAAATGAAATTGTGAAGCTGTTCTCTGAGCATCCACAGTCGTCGTTATTGTCATGTGAATACTAGGCTTTATAAAGAATTAAAGTCAATTCCATCAAAAATTCATTTGGAACCACATACGTACAACTTTTGCCCACATCCATCGCATGCGACCTGCGTAAGTCATCCTTACCTGGGATGAATCAATGAATTTTTTTTCCCCCGAGAATTGATATATTTTACAATGATCTTTTGACTTCAGATAGTCAACTTAGTGTCTTGACACCGCCCCTCCCCTCTCAACACACAACATGATTTTCGTTTCACCTGTAATAAATTCTATACGTTTTTCTAGCATACCGATTTTTATTTCTCTCATTTGTTTTATTAAATTTGCGGCATGATGATATATCATAAAAATAAGCAGTCGAGGACTCATTCAATGGACTTTATAGAGCGGATTTCGCGGTATGAGTGGGAAACGGACGGTACTGTACTGTGACCGTAATCGTACTGTAACCAAATTGAAGTGCCCCATTGGTTCACCAAAATTGTGCAGGCCAGGTCCGGTAACTGTGTGGTAACCGTGCGGTAACGGTATCCCACTCATACGAAATCGGCTCTATAACCGCTGTTCATCTATACTCAACGTCCCTGTTCGCACCGCTCATCGAAGTACAGTATCATTCTAGTGCGGTGCTAAGGAAAGGGAGTGTCTAAACTCATCAGCCATGTTGCTTTATGGGCTCGACAGGAGTTATGAACAGATCTCAATGCAAACAATCTTGTTTAAGGGCAAAGGTTAATTCTTATTCCAAATGAATTTTTGATGGAATTGACTTTCTTTATAAAGCCTAGTATTCATATGAAAATAACGATTGAGAGAGCAAATGGACAACATTTCATTTTTTCTGCTCAAGGTTAAAATTTCAAAATTCTTCTTTTTAAATGTGATTGCAACTTTGTGAATGCATTCAATTAAGAGATGACATATACTA